TACAGATAGACCTCGAATTACAACAGCATATTTAGAGACTGTTCAAAGTTACAACGGCACTTTAAAAAGTGACTTTTGACTGTTTTTCACATTTATGATCATTGCATAAGTCACATGATCAAAATTCAGACACTTGGCTATTGACTCATATTTATAACCATTGCAGTGTTCTGGAGTCATATGATCACTTTTTTTGACTTTCTGACAAAATCAATGGAGAAGCCAGATTCACTTAGCTGTGTCACTAACTTAACAACTGCAGTGATTCAGTTAACAACTGTGGCAAAAAAGGTCATAAAACTCACTTAACAAATATCTTAACAACAGAAATTTTGGACTCAATTGTGCTCATAAGTCAAGGAATACCTGTAATTATCAACTGAAAAAAGAACACGATTGAAAGAATCCCTTCTTCTAGCACTTAACTAGGAAAGTTATCTATTGTTTCTCATTCAGAAAGCCATGTATCATTGGTGATCCACAAAAATAATCTAGTAGTTGACAAATGATTCATTTCTCAAGATGGGGCAGCAGAGCAGGGGGGCCAAAAACAATAGCTTCCAGGTGGGGTTCTCTGAGCAAAGAGCTGCCCAGCTCAGCGAGATTTGGGTTTAAAAACTAAGCTTAACATTTTGCAGTAATTAACTTTAATTTCTAATTTAGTTATATAGTGGGGGAAATGGTTAAGTTAGGATTTAGGGCAGAGAGTGCATCAATTCCAGCTTAGAGAAGTATTGTTAATATGGGAGTACCATTGCAATTTTTAATGCTTTGAAAACTTGTTATTAATTGACACATACAGTATAGCAGAAGATCTGGTATCTCTCTCTTCTTGGAAAAGCTACACACTTTTATTTCTGTTTTCTGGGGACTCTCGTTCTTTGATAGATTGATTTGACTTTGGATGCAAGAAGTTTAAAAACAATGAGCTAAGGTTGTTTGCACAATAATGCTTTTGGCCAGCAATATAGATTTCATGTTATATTTTAGCTATGATTTAATTAGGATTTGTTGAATAGGCTGGGTTAATACCATACATTGTTATAAACCATAATTTTCAAATCATAGCGGATTGAGTTTATAGCACATAGCCAAAGGAAGGAAGAAATAATGTATTAATATAGTACATTATGTGAATCCAAATACAGACAACTGATCCTGAGATAATTTCACTAGGCAGGACAATTTCTTAGGCATCCAATGTGAGAAAATGAATTTTAGTTCCTGTTGAAATGTCCATTCTGTATCTCTATCTTTGCTCAACTGCAAATTAAAACAAATATTGCAAATGCCATTTGGTTTCCAGTGTCCGTCTTTTAAGAAAAAGAAAAAATGTGGATAGGAATTCATACCTTGGATTTTCTCAGACTCTGGAGAAGTGGGTTGAAAGTGAAGTCAAGTCAAGCTGTGCTTAATTCCTGGATGTCACAGATGTCTGTGATGAATACTTGGCTCACTGTTCAATCTTCTTCTAGAATAATTTTTGACTTTTCAGTAATGTAACCTATCAGATTCTTTGATAATTTCCCATCCCATTCCTTGGTGATTTCCCATCCCATTTCATATTCGCTAATGAATGTTAGCTTATATGACATCAGCCCAGTCTGGCTAAGTGCAGTCATCCAGCTGGAGAGATACTACAGGTAGTCCTTGATTTAAGACAACAATTGAGCCAAAAGCTTCAGTTGCTAAGTGAGACACTTAAGTAAATTTTGTCTTGTCCCATTTGATGACTTTTCTTGCCACAGTTCTGCAAGTGAATCACTGCAGTTGTGAAGTTAGTATCATGGTTGTTAAGGGAATCTGGCTTCCCCATTGACTCAGCTTGTCAGAAGGTGACCTGATCACATGACCTTGGGACACATAAGTATGAACCAGTTGCCAAGCATCTGAATTTTGATCATGTGACCATAGGGATGCTGCAATGGTCATAAGTGTGAAAAACAGTCATAAGTTATTTTTTCAGTGCCGTTGTAACTTTGAAAGGTCACTAAATGAATTGTTTTAAGATGAGGACTATCTGCACAAAGAAGAATAGGAGACAGCTTGACACTGGTGACAGAAATCAGTGCTGAATAATATGGTATCACAAGAGTTTGTGTATAAGAAATCTCCTAGGTTCAAAGTAAAAGCAATACACATATACAATTCCTTTTTTACCCAAATACATCAATACTTTTTAGATAAATGATTCCATTAGCAGGATGCTTGGCAGTCAACCCTTAATTAAAAATTAGAATAGTGCTTCTCTGACATCAGTCCAAACTATATGTGTCATGTATAAAATGGGATGGGTCACTTCCCTTTCCAAAGAGAGGTTAAAATACATCAGGATTTCAGTTCCTTTCAATAAAAAACATTTAAAAGGCCATACGAAATGTATTATTTGCCCAATTCAGGCTATAAGGAAACCGCAAATATGAATACTGCTTTTAGAAAGAACCTGACCCTATTTAGGTCTCGAGTTCAGACATGGAAGACCAAATGCTACCACCTACTGAAACCAGGCACAAATCATTAATTTAGTATTTGATTAACTCCTAAGAAGAGACGTGCCATCTCAGCAACACCTGCAACAAATCTAAATGCCAGATTGGCTTTCCAGATGTTGCTGAATTAGAGCTTCCTTCCCTCCCTCCCCTTGGAGCCAAGTTGCAGGTTCTCTCTTCCTTTATGCAACGTCAATAGGGCCACCTAGTGGTCAACGGATTGTTGCCTCTTCTCCTAGTCTTATTCTGGTTAGCCATGGATTATCAATGAGAGAAGCTACTACTGTATATAGGAGTCCTTATGACCACAATTCAGCCCAAAATTTCTGTTGTTAAGTGAGACCTTTGTTAAGTGAGTTTTGCCCCACCTTATGACCTTTCTTGTCATAACTGTTAAGTGAACCACTGCAGTTGATGAGTTAGTAGCATGGTTAAGTGAATCATGACCTTGGGACACAGCAATGGTCACAGTAGTGGGAGTCAAACAACTGATTCTCTGCCCTAATGAGTTCTTCCAACAACCAGTTCACCAAACCGCTCAGAATATTAACAATCGGTTCTCGCAAAGTGGTGCGAACTGGCTGAATCTCACCACTGAATGGTTATAAATATGAACCAATTGCCAAGCATCTGAATTTTGATCAGATAATCTTGGGGATGCGACAAAGATGTGGTAACAGTGAAAAATGTCATGAGTCACTTTTTTAGTCCCGTTCTAACTTAGACCTATATACCGCTTTACAGCTCTCTCGAAGCAGTTTACAGAGTCAGCATATTGCCCCCAACCATCTGGGTCTTCATTTTACCCACCTTGGAAGGATGGAAGGCTGAGTCAACCTTGAGCTTGGTGGGATTTGAACTGCCAAATTGCAGGCAGCTGGCTGCAGCAGAAGTAGGCTGCAATACTGTACTTTAACCACTGCGCCACTGAAATGATACAGATATAAATAAACCTGCTCAAATAAAGCCCCAGCTTAACTGTTGGGAAAGTCATAATCACCATAACTCTTTGCAAAACCACAATGACTGCATTCACCAAGTTGGCTAAGTAGCAGATGGCATTGGCCAACAAGCTTGACTGAGGTTAACCTTGCTTGGCTAGGTGGCAGTGAGGGGAGTGCAGAGATGAAGGACTCAGCCCGTTGTCCATACTCAGCTCTTGGGCTCCTTGGTTGTGATGACCCAGAGTATATCAGAAATATAACAAAAACCAAAACGGAAATAAAAGTCCTTTAATGCCTTCAACTTGGCTTCACTGTTTAATTGTTCACAGTGAAGGAGTAAACTATTTTCAAAATAACATTTCAAAGGAAAGAAACACAGTTCAAATTCAAAGAGCTGATAACGAAGCAAAAACCAAAAACAAACCACACTGAATAAAGTTCCACGACAAACCAGGATAATTGCCAACTTCAGGAAGATAACCAGGATAAACCTCCTTTAGGAATAAACACTAATTTATCTCTAGTGTCTGCTAGCACGCAGGTCCAACCTTTTATGCAGATCTCATACCTGCAACCCATGAAGAGGATCATGGCCCTCTCCTCCTGAGTAGACCACATTTTACCCTGATCCTCTCCTCCCTGTGTGCCCTAAGATGAATAGGGCCTGGGTCTGGGGACCTCCTCTAACTGCTCAGCCTGCCTCTGCCCTTCCCCAGCCTCCTCCACCACCTCTGGAGCCACACTTCCACTCCCTGTTGGCTGTTTCTCCTCTTCCTCAGAGTCAGTCTCCACCAGGGACATGACATTGGTACTCTCTGATTTGGGTGGTTTTCTTGCAGATGTTTCATCACCCAAACTAGGTAACATCATTGGGACCACTGATGACATTATCTACTTTGGTAATAGAACAGAATTCTTTATTGGCCAAGTGTGATTGGATACACAAGGAATGTGTCTCAGGTCCGTAAGCTCTAAGTGTACGTGCAAGCAACAAGTGATAAATCATGATCATCATAAAATACAATCATCATAAATTGTAAGACACAATACTCAGTGATAGTGATATGATACTAAATAAGCAATCAACATAAATCATAAGATATAAAGACCCTTCGAGCTGTATACAATGAAATGTCATTTTAATGTATGTTGATTAGTGTACATTCAAACTGTCAAAGCTATTCTATTCTATTCTATTCTATTCTATTCTATTCTATTCTATTCTAAATTATAGTCATAAGAAGCCAAGGAAATAGGTAATGGGAAAGATGAGAAGGATAATAGTAATGAAGTACCAAGGACCCTTCATTTGAACCCTGAGTTACAAATATCTTCCTTTGATCACTTACGATTCCGGATTTCTTGTCCCGTCGCCACCCTCCGCAAAGCGGATTAACGCAAGGAAACAACAGCGCCTCCTGCGCTCTTCCTCTCCCACTTCAGCCGGGATGACTCGCTTCGTTTTGACTCCGCTGCCCGCCTCTGAAAGGGAGGGGGAGGGAGGGAGAGAGAGAGAGAAAGAAAGAAAGCGAGCGAGGCTCCGCCCTCCTTTCCTCCCCGGGACGCGGGCGGGAGCGCGCGCCGCGTGGCTCGCAGCTGCAGCAGGAGTGTAGGATGTGGCCGGTCCCGCGCGCGGGGCTAGCCCTGCTGCTGGAAGTGGGGGTGCGCGCGTTGCTGCTGGGTCTCTTCTTGTGAGTGGCCGAGGAGTGGGAGGGCCTCCGTCTCCGGTGGGGGTCGCGAGGCAGGAGCAGAAAAGGGAAGGGGCGTTGCTCTCCCTCTTCTTTGGGGACGGTTCCTATTCCCACGCCTTACCGGAATGCCAGCGGGCAGCCTTCCTGTCTCCCTCCCCCTTTCGCCATCCTCTCCATCTGGAGCTTTTCCAGGCTTGCAAAGAAGTTGCGTGGCTTTTCGGAAAGCTGGGGCGGCCTTCTCGGCGTCTTGGTTGCTAGGAGTTGGCCTGAGCCGAATGGCATGCCCTTTGTGGGCTGAAGGCCCTCAAAAGAAGGAGGCACCTGCAGTGTTTGGTGGCATTTTGCGCTGTGCGTCAGGCTGGGCATCTCGCGGGGAATACATAGGCTGGTGCTAGATGCTGGCCTGTTCTTTTGGAGCTTGCAAATGAGGGGCAGAGGAGAGGATCGCTGGGGGAGGGGCTTCGTTCCAGAATTCCCAGCAGCAGAGGGTTTATGTTGTTAGTTGTGATCCTTAGAACTAGGTGGCTGAGGTGCGTTGCAATTAACCTCAGGGACATAGGATACAATGGTTGCCTGGGCCAAAGGCCTCCAGGAAGTGCTTGGATTTCAAATGCCTGGAACAAATATGTCAATCTCCATCAAAGACAGCTGATACCTGCCTTGCATTTTCTATATGTAGTCACATCCCAAAGAGATTCAGAGAAGAGAAAGACAAACCGGAATTTGTTCTATCTGGTCATAAGAACCACCATTCTCCCTTTTCTTTGCGTGCTGTTTTTTGGATTATTATTATTATTATTATTATTATTATTATTATTATTATTATTATTAT